AGGGAGCCAGATGCGGGACTCGATCCCAGGACCCTGGGATCATGACCTGAGCTGAAGGCAGTCGCTTAACCAACTGAGCCACCCAGGTGTCCCTGTGCCTGGATTTTATGCTCTGTGGTGGCTGGGGACCGGAGAGCTGTTTTGGAGGGTAGGGATGAAGGCCCAACCTCATGGCCAGAGGAGGGGAGTGAAGACACCCTGAGAATAATTGGGCAGTGAAGAGGGGAAGAAGGTTGGGGCAGGGGCGCCAGGGGAGGGCAGCTCCCCTGGGAGAATTAGTTCAGGAGCAAAGGAGGGCCACTGGGGAGATCCATGGTGGATTGCACGGGGCAGGCTGGGTGCAATGACCGGGGGACCATGGAGGGAAACGGGAGGGGCAGGAGAACGGGGAAGGCTGGAGAGTGGTGCTGGGAGGGTCAGGACACAGAAGGTTGTGCTGGGAGCGTGGGTGCTTGGGATTCGGGTTTCCAAGGGGTGTAGCTGAAGCTGTGGGCGCTGGGGCCGCTGGGTGATGCACCTCTTCACGCCCCCTCCTCCCCACCAGGTGGGCACCCTTTGAGGCCTTCCCACAGGAACGCAGCTCGCTCAGCCTGGTCAGCCTGGCGGGCACCCTGTACGCCATCGGTGGCTTTGCCACGCTGGAGACCGAGTCTGGAGAGTTGGTCCCCACAGAGCTCAACGACATCTGGAGGTGAGCCCGGGGCCCAGGGAGGTGACCAAAGCCCCCGAGCAAGGCTGATGCCCCCCAGCGGCGCCTGGCGAGTTCATCTGGGGCTGGGGTGATCCCTCTTCCGGTCCCATGCGGCAGGGACAGCAGACACGCCCTGCTCAGCCCAGTCTTTCCGGTTTGGCTGGCAAGAGCCCGGTTTGCTCACAGGGCACCACGCCCCGCTGTGGAGCATCAAGCGAGCCGCAGGCCGGAGCTGCCCCAAGTTTAGGGCCCAGACCCAAGGAAACAGGCCCCGGGGAGTAGAGGGGGCCCTGAAGAGGCAGCCAGGCCTTTCCTCCCTGCTCTGTCCTGGGTACTCTTGCTGGAGGGGAGAGCTGGGGCCAGAATTGAGAAGATGCTGGACCCCAACTTCTGAGAGCCATTGCTTTCCATGCTGGCCCTTCCTGGGGGTGGAGGGAAGAGGTTTCGGTGCCTGGAGCACCTGCTAAACCTTCAGTTATTCTCACTGCTCCATGGGGGCGGGTGGGTCTTGGGGGGACTTCTGGAGTGCTGAATACAGAATTCTCCAGAGGAGGGGCTGTGGAAATGCAGGTCTTCCTGGAAGCGTGGGGCATTCCTTGAGAGGTGACCCTTCCTGGAATGTGGGGTGGCTGTTCTTTGGGGGTGGGCCTTTTGGGGGGGCCCTTTCCCAGGACATGAGAATTCTCCAGGACCAGACATTTCTGGAGATGGGCCTGGGGCTTCGGGGACACTCCCCAGGGGTAGGCCTAGCATCGTCAGCCACCCCTCTCGGCTGGGGCCCACTCTGCACTCGGCTGACCCAGCTCTGTGTCCCTGTCCTCACTCCTCCCTCCCACCCCCAGATATAATGAGGACGAGAAGAAGTGGGAGGGCGTCCTGAGGGAGATAGCCTACGCAGCCGGCGCCACCTGCCTACCCGTTCGGCTCAACGTGCTGCGCCTGACCAAGATGTGACCAGCCCCGAGGGCCTGAACTAAGCACCCCTCCCACCCTGCGGCCACACAGGCCTGGACTTTTGAGGGCTCTGGAGAAGAGGCTGGGAGAAGCCTGAGCCCACCTGGGTCCCGTTGTGCCACCTGGGGGTGCTCTTCAGCAGGGGAGGGAAATCGCTGCCCAGTCCTAGCCTTTCCAGCAGGGACCAGGGACTTAGGGCTCTCCGGCATCCCCATATCCCCGGTCTTGTTCCATGAGCCAGAACCACAGGGAGGTTGCATTCTGGGCCAGTCCCAGCCCGCCTGTGTGCGGTGGATGTACCCACAGGACTCCATCTCCTCGCCTGTCAGATGGGGAGTGTCCCTTTCAAGCACACTCTACAGCCTGGATAGGTCCTTAAGAGGAATAAAGTGACTTCTGAGCAAGTAGCTCAGGGTCTGGAATCAGGTCCTCCAAGGGTCAGTGGCCAGGTGGTTGAAGATTCCAGGCTTCGGTGTTCAGCTGCTGGGTTGCCCAGGTCAGTGGCCTCCGCACTCCATGTGGGTATCTCCTCCACATTCTGTGTGCACTGAGAGCCTGACCCCCCCGCTCCCTGGGGCTCAGAACCCCCACCTCCTCAAAGAGCATGGACAAGGAGCCAGGAAATTGCTGGTGGAAGGGAGAGGGAACAGCCAAACTGTGGTAGAAAAGTCTTTTATTCTAGCGGTCAGGCCCCATCCGGCCTGGCCTGGGCCTGGGCCTGGGCCCGGGAATAGCTGAGCAGAGCCTATCCCTCTCCCCTCTGCCTCCTCCCACCTACTCCGGCTTCTCTTTGTCCTGCTTCTGCTCCTCCTCTAGGGCCAGGGTTCGCTCTCGCTCCTTCACCAGCTGGACACCACAGTAGGTGACAAATAGGACAGCCAGAGTGGTCTGGGGGAACCCTGTGTGGGGAAGAGGTCATCGATGCCTGGGGGCAGGACCCCAGCCTCAGGGACTCTTTTCTTCTCATGCCCCTCCCCACTTGATTGGCCCACCCTGCTAGGTCCCCGGGGTGTTGGGTTGGGGTGGGGGCATTTCAGGAGGTCACAGTCCTCAAGGTTGATACCTGGCATCTTCTGTATCCACACCTCCCTGTCTCTCACCTGTGAGTAGCAGGCGCCTGGCAACCAGCTCTGTGAACTCAAGACTGTTCAGGCTTACAAGGTTGTACATGATGATGGCCCAGAAGTTCATGGCCCCAAAGAGGGCCCGGACCCTGCGAGACATCTGCTCCGACAGAGAGGCCTGCCCAGTCCAGGAAAACATTGGCAGTGGGGCAAGAGGTCAAGGGGAAAGAGGACACAGTTGGTCAGAGGTCCTGCCCACAGGGCTCCCCCAGGTCCTGGGGATGTGCTTGGGTCTCTGAGAGTCCCCAGGGCAGCCCTCCCTTGTTGTTAAAGATGGGAATACTGAGGACCAGAGAGAGGGGAGGGCCTGACCATCACAGCCTGGCCCAGGTGTCCACACTCCACAAAAGGGGGTGCTGGATACCAAGAGGGGGAGCCACTGCCTTGACAGCCAGGAAGTTGTGGTGAGAAAGTTCCGGACTGGGGGCCAGGTGTGGCTGGAAGACTCCAGAGAGCAGCAGTGCACCCCCTCCAGCGACCCAGCCAACCCCTGCCCCAGGCCTTCCCCACTCACCTCAATTTGTGCTAGGGGCCCCCACTCGGCCAGCTTCTGCACCCAGAGTTCAAAGTTGAGGCCAAAGCAGTTAAGGAATGACCACAGGTAAACAGTATCACAAGGTCCAAGCCACAGAGTAGTGATGGCAAAGGTGGCCACGGTGGCCCCCAGCTCCGGAATCACCTCAGAGTGCTCCCCACCAATGTGGTCATACACATACCTGCAAGAAAGGCAGGAGAGAGGACCAGCGGGGGTGTGGGAGAGGGCAGGTAGGAGATGGGCAAAGGATATGCCACAGGGGCAACCCTCCTCAACACCATCATCCCGGGCACGTCCAACATCCCTGACCTCAGATGGCCGCTCCTCTTCCACCCAACTTCAGAATGTGGAAGGCTCAGCTTTGAACTTCGGTGTCTCCTCATCCATTCCCCAAGCGATCTCATCCAGACCCAAGACTTTGAACACTGTTTCTAGGCTGACGAGCCCCAAATCTGTGTCTCTAGCCTGCTCTCTTGACTCACACATCCAGCTGTCACTAGACATCTCCCTTGAATGACAGAGTCCCCCATCCCTGTCCAAACCCGCTGCATCCTCATCTCAGACAATGACACTTCCATCCATTCAGTTGCATCGAGAAGACGTGGTGCCATCTTGGACTATCCGTTCCCCTCTCCACATCCAAGCCAGCAAATTCTATGGGCTCCACGCAGTCCTGACTGCTGTTTGCCACCCCCACTACACCACCCTTGCCCAGGGGGTCATCTCCTCTCATAGATTATTGCAAGAGCCTCTTAAGTCACTTCCCTGCCTCTGCCTTGGACCCCTACCAACCGTTCTCCACATAGCAGCCAGAATCAGAGCACGTGACTTCCACAATCAAACCCTCCCCCAAAGGCTCCCCATTACAATTAGAATAAACCACCTCCCTACTAAGGCTAGAAGATCCCACGATGTCTGGTTTCCGCCTCCCTCCCTGACCTCTTCACCCACCATTTCCCGCTCATTCTTGCCTTACTGGCCTTCCTGTCCCTCAGACACAGGCAGCTGGTTCCTGCCTCAAACGTATGCCCTTGTTCCTTCTCCCTTGAATTCTCTTCCCTAGATTTCCTTATCACTCAAGTCTCAATTCAAATATCAGAGGCCTGCCCAGACCATAACTGTAGAAGCTTCTACCCTGTGGCCAGCTTCTATCCCATTACACTTTTTTTTTTATAATGCTTACCACTCTCTAAAATTATTTTATTTATGTGTCTGTTTACCTGTTTATAGTCTGTTTCTCCCCCACTAGACTGTAAGCTCCATGAGTTCAGGGTCTTTGCCATGTTCACTGCTGTATCTCCAGTGCCTAGAACAGTGCCTGGCACATAGTAGGTACTCAATAAATATTTGTTAAATAAATTCAGTAGAAGACCCATTGAGTAACTGGCCTCTTCATGCCTTGACCTCTTCATTTCCAGCGGTTGCTTCTCCACACCATCTCAGCCACCCACTCCCATGGTCATACTCCAACTTTGTCACCACTTGAAATTTCATTCCTTCCTAGTTATCATTCTCCACCCAGCCCCTCCTGACATGCCCCCCCCAGCTCCAGTTCTTCAATCTCATTGACCCCTCCCCCTCTTCCTCACCTTGCAACCCTATTTTTACCACCCTCTTTAACTGGCTTAAATTCAATGATCATCATTATAAATAACCTAAAACCCCTCATCCTTCACTTCTTCCTTCTCACCAATCTGGGAGAGCCCAATCTCCCATGGTCTCCTCACCTGCACCCAAGAGGCTAAGCTCTGATAAGGAAAATCTCACACCTTTACATGCTAGAGTCCATAAATCCACTACCTCCAACCCCACCTGGGCTCTCAATGCCAAGGTTTCTCTAGTCAGCTTCTTCTTCTGCCATGCTCTCCAGTGGCTACTCCACCCTTATCTCTCCCCCGACTGTGAGCGGGTGTGGTGGGTGAGCTAGGCAAGAGGAAACTGGGCCCGAAGATGCTGCCTCCCTCTGTGCCCAATCCGGCATCTCTCAGCTGGTGACCTTGCCTCCTACTTCATGGAGAAAACTGAAGGCTTCCGGTGGATCCTTCTCGACACTAACCCGCCACCCTGCATCCATGCTGGCTTCTGTTCCTCCTTCCTGTCCTGAAGCCAAGCCTCTGCCTAGCACTGGTTCCATCACCTCCTTCCTCCTTGGGGACCTCACTCTATCAATCACCCCTCTATCCTGCCTCCCAACTTAGACTTCCTCTTAGCAACCGAGCATGTCCCACTATTTGCTGTCTTAACACACCTCACTTCTCCCTTCAGCAACTCCTCTGTCTCCCCCTCAGTAGCTAGCTTCCCAGCAGCCTCTGACCCAGCTGCTCCCACCGTGCCTGGATGCTCTTCCTTGTTTCCAGACTGTCATGTGGTCTTGACTGTTCTACTCCTCTGATCACACCTTTCAGTCCCTTCTGCTACTCTCTCTTCTCCCCCAATGGGAGTCCTTCCTGCTCCAATCTCAGCCACACCTTCTCTCCTCTTCTTTACTCTTTCTCCTTGGGACTTAGGCACTCCCAAGGACTAAAGACCACCCTCCCACACTCATAAGGCTCGGAGCTGCATCGGTCCTCCAGACTTCTCTGAACCCCAGACCCTCAGACCTAACCACCTCCCTGAACCTCCACAAGAATGTCTCCCAGATTCCAACCATTTCTCACACAGAACCTCTCTCTGGATGCTGCCCCTCCATCTTCCCAGGCATAGGAATCTGGGAGTCATTTCCCACTCCTTCTTGATCCCCTCAATCCATGGCCAAGTCCTGTCCAAGCTCCCTGCTGTGTGTCTTGACTCCAGCCATTTCTCTCACCTCCAGAGCCCCCACCCATGTCCAAACCTCTGTCTTTCACCTAGACCTCTGCGATGACCTCCTCCTTGCTTCCTCTGGCCCAGGGCTGATCTTTTAAAACGTGGACCCATCTCTGCACTGCCTTGCTCAGACACCTGGCGGGATGACTGTGACCATTACCCCACCCCACCCCAACTCACTTGCAAAGCCAGTCGTTGATGCCACGGTCAAAGTGCCTGAGGGAGGAGGGCAGATGGGTGTGAATCAGCCAGGAGCAGTGCTCCGGGGGAATGGGGGAAAGAGGCTACGGGAAGGTGGGGATCCCAGTGGCTTGTCCCCGGACCTCGCACTCACGTTTCGGCGAAGACATAGAGAGCGGTGATGCACTTAGGAGGCTGGGGAGGGTCCAAGTGGTCAAGGCGCGCCACTGTGTTGACCACGCCGAAGAGGACGGCCGCCTTCACCCAGTCGTACACCAGGTTTGAGTAGGCTAGGCCAGCTGGGGATAGGGTGTCGTCACTGACTGGGGGGCGTCGCGCGGATCTCCGCTCCCCGGATCCCCCAAATCGTGGTAGGGAGGCACGGAGCCAGGCCCTCCCCTACGCCCTCTCTCCGCAGGTCGTAGGGGAGGTCCTGGCAGCCGGCCCGCCCCCACGGAGACCCCACCCCCCATTTCCTGGGGGAGGAGCGGGCCCAGCCGGCCCCAGGGAGACCCCACCCAGGCTGTGGTAATCAACCCGAGGCCCCTGTGAGGCGGCTCTGCCCGTCTGGCCTCATACAACAAAGCTAACTTCAAGTCCCAGGCATTTCAAAGAGTAAATCCCGGCTCCCCCACCCTTGGATAGGTGCTGTGCCCTCGCAGGGTGTCAGCTCCCCAGCAGTGACGCCATGGGGGCGCAGAGGGTCTGTCTTTCTGTCTTTCCCAGTCCCTGTTCTGGCCCAGTCGCGCACCCACCGAGGGCGCTCTCCGGGAGGCGGTTGGCAAACTTGAGGTCACTGGGGATGGTGAGGATGTAGAAGAAGTGGAAGAAGATGTCCACGGCCATGATGGCCACGACGCTGAGGCCGCCCTGGGCCCGGATGCGCCACAGCTCACCCTCGCGCCTCACCGGCTCCACCTGGCTCATCTGGGGGATGCGAAGTGTCTGAGTGGGGAGGCAAGGCCTCCCGGAGGCATCCTGTCTGAATGGGGCGGGGGGTCACCAACTGTCTGGGGATCTGAAGGTGAAGGGAGACGCACCTTCATCCTGGCAGCTGTGCCTGAGAGTGGAGCCACTTCTCCAGCCTGTGATCCCCGTCTGAGCAGGGAATGTGGCCCCATGCTGGGGTCTGAGGAGGCAGGGTATTATGGCTTCATCCTGGGGTCCTGCCTGAGGGTGAGGACACAGCCTGCCCTGGGAGTCCTAGCTGAGATGGGAGCCCCTGTCTGAAGAGGGAGACCCAGCCCTGTTCTGGAAGCCCACAGGGTGTCCGCTCACCTGGGCGTGGAAGCGATCAAAGGTCATGATGGGCCCGAAGAAGAAGAAAGGCAGGTAGAAGTTGTACTTGAGCAGGTCAGCTAGGGAGTAGCGGCGGTCAGGGTGGGCACAGCTCTCCAGCGCAAAGCTGGTACAACGCAGCACGGTGAAACCGCTGCCCCCATGAAACAGCACCTCTTGAAGATCAAAAGTGCCTGTTACAAACCCGCTCTGGATGGGAGAGAACAGGCCGCCAGTTCACCAGGTGCCCCATCTCTGGGAAGCCCACTCAGCTTCCCATAGGGGCCCAGCATTGTCCTGGCCCCTTCCTCTCTTGCAGAGCCAATCAACACTGGCCACTGAAGGCTAATTCATGTTGAGTGCTTGGATAGAGCAGGGAACAAGCTGGACACGTCCTTGTGGGTGGGTATGTGCCACAGTCAAAGGTTTGGAGACAGGTGGGAAAGTGAAGGAAATGCTTGGGGGAGACTCCAAAAGTAAGGGCTTAAATGGGGTGAGCAGTTTGGGGTCCTATTCTTGCACCCTCCACCCTTGCCCTTCCCCAGTGCACACCTGCCAGGAGATGAGGGGATCCAGCTTGAAGGAGGCAAGGCTGGCCAGGCCGAGGCCAAGACAGAGCCAGGGCTGGCCCAAAAGTGAGGCCACATAGAGGCTGACACAGTGGCCAAGCAGCAGCCCCAGGTACCAAGGGCCCATCGTGCCCAGCACAGCCAGGGCCCCATACACAGCATACATCCAGGAGCGGAGCTGTGGACAGGGAGAAGGAATGGTTTATCTATCCATACAAGTGGAGGTGGGACCCCAACCCTTGTTGCTCAAGGGGAGCCGGCAGGGGAGGCTGGGGTGGCTCAGGTCCAGCTCACCTGGGGGGCAACCATCGTGCAGAGTTTAGCAAACAGCACATGTCCAGAGAGGGCGAAGACGATGATGTTTCGGAAGGAGGTGAACCACATCACCCACTCGAAGTCAGCCACGTCCTGGGGCAGGCCCGGGCAAGTTAAGGAGGGGCAGGAGGCAGGATGGGCTGGCGCTTCGGCTGAGCACAGTCCCAGCACCTACCTCCCCAGCCCCCATATTCTTAGGTATTAGAGGACGGCCATGGCTGGAGGCCCTCACCTTCCCCTCTGGGGGAAGTACCAGCCAGGTAGGTAGAGAGAAACAAGAGGTACCATGCGTACTGCCCTGCCCCCCAGAACTCCCCCTCTGTTCAGCATATTGCCTGACATTCCACCATTAATGGCATTGTTCCTGGGAAGGATGGTGCTGGAGGCCCCTGCTGAAGCATGTCTCAATTTAGTTCCTAAATGAGCAGTGTCTGGGGGCAGGCTTGATGTGGGCCCAGGAGGACACAGTGGGGAAATGGATGGGCCAGTGGGGAAATGGAAGGCTCTGAAGCTCAAGCCAGAGACCCTCCTCACTGTGAGCCCTCTGTTACATGGGAACATCTGGAACGGGGGAGAGACAGAAAGGGTCTGGGATGGGAGACACATGCCAGGGATCGGGGACCTCAGTCAGGGACCCTGGGGTGTGCAGGACCTACCATCTTCCGGCCAATGTACTCCCAGCCAGGTCTCACAGATTCCCGGAAAGCCTTCCTGTGGGCCCCATCTGAGAACAGAGTGTGGCCTCAGTGGGGGCTGCGGGGACTTCACACCCTCACCTGCCCCTACAGCAAGGCTGACCCTCACCCTAGAGGGATGGGAATGGGTCTAGGTCTCTCTCTCTCTGCCTCTGCTTCTCTCTGGGTCTCATTGTGTGTCTCGGGCCAGGTCCTGACTGTACCCCCGAGTGTCTCTCTCTCTCTCTCTCTCTCTCTCTGTGGCTCTGTGTGCAGGTCTCCGTCAGTGCCTCTGCATCTGTCTTCTCCCTGTGACTACACCTAGCTCGGCCCAAACCCCGGGGCTTAGGGAATATCCTGGGTCTGGACCTTGAAGTTTATGGCCTTGCTGAGTAGAACCCTGAGGCCCGCAGGGGAAGAAGGGTCCCACCCCCTGCTCCAGAGCCCGGCCATTACCTTGTGAAGCTTCAAGGAGACCCCGACCAGCATAGGCCAGAGCCCCACTCAGCACCAGGGAGTATAGGCCCAGCTCCGCCGCGGGCAATGCTGTCTTGATACTCATAGCCTGGATGGCGCTGGGGGAGACAGATCGGGTGAGGGTACTGCTGCCCGCCAGCCCTGTCTAGCCCCAGCTGATGGTCCCCCACAGAAGTGATAGGGATCCCATTCTGAAGAGAGATTGCCCCTCCTGCCCTCCAGGGATCTCATGCTATTATCCTATCCTATCCCTGTCCCCCACCCCTCCCCTCCCAGATGCCGTAACATCCGGTGCCCATTCCTAGCGGCTGTTCTTGCTCCCCCTCTTCCTTTTGAAGGCTTCTGAGAGCCTAATCTTCACTCTCAGCCTGCCTGCCTCACCTTCATTTACTCCTTCATACCTTTCAGGTGGACCGGTCCCCACCTTTTGCTCCAACTGCTCCTGCCAAGGCCTCAGATAATCTTCATGTGGAGGGATTCCATCTATGTCACCTCAATCATGTTTCTGGCCCCCAGGGTCCCCACCCCCCTCAGTAAGCCTCCTTCAGCTACTGACAATGCCCCCCCCCCAGTACCCTTTTCTCGGATTCCCACACCCCTCCAGAGCTGCCTTTACTTCTCTGAGATCTCCTGGCCTCCCCTGTCCCCAGCATTAAGCTTCCTTACCTCTCATTCAGCCTCCAGCCTCTCACTGATTCCCATTGCCCCAACCAGCCCCTGAGCCCCAGCCTGCCACTTCCCTGGTCCCTGCCTTGTGTCCGTGGCCACACCGCCCACTCTCTCAGTGCTTGTGTATTCAGGCCCTAGATGCTGGCTAGAGGCAGAGCTATTTGAAGAGGTGCCCTGGGGTAGTGGGTGTGGGGCCAGGCAGGGCCAGACAGCCCCAGGGATGGTGCTGGCCTCTGTCCAAGGTGCTGACCGGTATCAGGCTCAGGGTTAGCCTAGCCACCCCCCTCTTCCAGGGCCTAGTTCATTCCCAGGAGTCCTGCTGGGCCACCCCCTCCTATGCTCCAGCCTGGCCTTGGGCTTTCCCAAGGGTGCCACAGTTAACAGACCCAGGGCCAAATTAAAGGGAGGAACATGCTAGGCACTTTCTTGGGCTGGGCTGGGCCAAGAGGTGGCTGGCATGGCCCTGTCTCCCACCCCTGATTCTCCCCCAAATCTCCTTTACCAGCAATGCAACCAGCTCTCCCGGGCCCCCACAGTCAGCATTCTCCCCACTACATAGACAGAGGGGTCATGGCCCAGAGAGGGGCAGGGATCTCTCAAGGTCACACAGTGAGCCTGGGACAGGATTGTGTGTTCCCAGTGAGCCCTCTGGAATCTCGGTTAAGAGCATTGCTGCCCCTGCCCATACCAGGGGGCTTCCCAGACTGACCTCTGCACTGTTGGCCTGAGGGCTGAGGCTCCTCCTCATCGGCCAGGTTGGGGGAGGGAGGCCTGGAGGATCGGGTTAATGGAGCAGGAGTTTGAAACCGGAGCACGGTGAAGAGCCCACAAAATAGCTTTGTCAGCTGCCTCCCACTTGCCACTTTCCAATTTTAGCTCCCCATGGCCGGTGCTGGGTGTCCCCAGTGAGGCCTCCGTGAGCAGGTCCGGGGCTGGCCCCTGGCCTGGGACCTCTTCCAATAGACCCCCGGACCTGGGCCCCCATTGGATACAGCGGTGCCCCCTGCCCCCTGGTCCTGCCTGCGTCAGGTACACCTGAGGTAAAGACTGCTTTAGGGCCTGAAGTCTGGGATGAGGGTCTTGGGGTGGGCTCCGTAGGTCTCAAGGACCCCAGAGTGGCTGAATCCCCTGCTGGCACTGACCTTGAGGAGGCTGTGAGGGACCCTGGCACACTGCCCACCTCGGGGCTCCGAGTTCCTGCGTCCAACTGTGCGTCCGTCCGACCAGCTAGGCTCTGGAGCCACAGTGGGGTGTGTCCAGCCCTGGGGTCCCCACCCCCTCAAGGCTATGAGCGGTGAGTGGTGACAGCAGGAGGAGGGTGGAGGAGGGCAGGGAGGAGGTGGCCTTCCTAGAGCAGAGCGGAGCTGAGCAGAGTGGAGCGGAGCCGAGCGCTGCAGAGCTGCTGGCCACAGGGAGCTGCAGGGAGGACCGTGGGGGAGGGGGGCAGGGGTTGGGGAAGGGGTGGCTAGGCTCCAACAGGGACCACCTGGGCCTCACTTCAGCTTGCCTCTCCTGGTCTGTAGAGCCTGTGCCTCCCTCTCACTGCTGGCCAGGACTCCCCTCTTCCAGGAAGCCTTCCAGGCAGCCCTCACTGACCTCCTGTGAGCCCTGCCACCACTGCATGCACACACATGCACACTTCATGCTCAGCTCCATACTCTAGCCCGCACCTTTACATGTGAACTCCTAAAGGCTGTCCCAGGGCAGATCCATCTAGTCCCCTGCCTGGGTTCATTTCATTATGCCAAGAGGCCTATAGCTGGCCAGGCATTAGTGCCTGGGGGAGGACTGGCTTGACTAGTAGGATTGACATGTGGCAGAGGGGGTCCCATACCCCAGCCCTGTCCCATAGGCAGTTGCCCAGGTGGAGGAGTGCCAGCAGGGTCACTGGGCAAGGCTTAACTAGGCTCCTGAAGTGGCTGGCATCTCTTGAGTGTCCCTAACCAACCGGGAGCCCTCTGGGGGCAGGGGACATGGCCCTCACTCGTGCAAGGGGCAGCCAAGGCCTCAGCCCAGCCTTCCCAGTGGGGAAGGGTATCCTAAAGAACCTGCCAAGAGGACAGGAACATCTGACAGTCTCCCTTTAGGAGGAGGACCTCAGCGTCTAGGGGAGCTGCCATCTCTGTCGGGGCCAGTTCATGCATATGCAGTGAGCAGGATCCGGAGTCTGGGGGGGTTGAAGGAGCTGTGTGACTGTAACAAGTCACAGGACAGGTCCTGGAGCTCCTGCTGATCCCTTGACTCCAGCCACGGGCTCAGCGGAGGATGGGGAAGGAAGGGGCTGTGCCCTGTGTCCCTCCCCCATCCTCTAGCAGGGGAACATCCAGAGCCTGACCAAGGTCTGAGAAGGGGAGGGAGAGTCTCCTACCCTCCCACGATGCCCTTAGGCAATGAGCTGCCTCCCAAGCAGACACATTGGCCCAGAGGAAGAAGCAAGGAGACCCCAGCATACATGCCACACAGAACGACACGGAGACCCTCATCACTGGTGCCCGGCCCCGAGAAGTGTACACGAAGATCACTGCACACTATAGGGGCTGGGTGAGGGCTGCCGTTGGGATCGTGGGCACCAGAGTTGGCCGGCGTCAGGGATGGATGCCTGAGCCAGACTGCAGGGGTTAGGGAGGGCTTCCTGGACAGGGGTGGGGGTGAGGGTACACCTGAGCAGAGTCCTAAGGTAGAGTCAATGGTTGTTAGAAGGGTAGTAAGCTAATCACAGTAGCCGGGCACAGTTCTAAGGCTTTACATGGACTCTTTAATGTCACCACAGCCCCTAGGGAAGGTGTTACCATTTTCCCCAGTTGATAGAAAAGGATACTGACGCACAGGAGGTCAGCCCCGTAAGCTTCTGGAGCTGATCACCCTGCAGGGGCAAGAACCCCACACATCCAATCCACCCTGGGTGCGGGCTGAGACCAGCCTGGGCCGGCCACTGAGTTGGTGCCCCCATGAGGCTCAAAGAGAATGGCTCAGAGAAGCAGATGGGGGGTGGATCCGCTTCTCGGAGCCTCAGATCCTCATCTGCAAATGGGCCTGCTCTGACCTTATTGGGCTTTTGGGGGGATTCCATGACTCACTCCATGAAGGGCGTGGCTCACTGAATTGCCCAGAAAGAGAGCCACAGATGCCTCGCTCCAGAAGCCCAGAGAGGCAAGGCTCACACAGCAGGAGCTGTGCACCGGGTGACCCCACGCAGCGGGGTCTGCAGGGAGCCCGGCATTTGGGGATGGCAGGCTCGATAGAGGGCTAGGGAGGCCTCCTGGACCTGGCGCTGGACAGTCCAAAGCCAGCTCCACCCTGTATGAGGGTGGTGGCAAGGGAGGGTGCCTGGCATGACCAGCCCACAAAACAAGAGCAGGAAGCTGATGGAGCTTAGACCAGCACAAGGGCCTGGGGTCAGCTTCCCGAAGGCCGCCAGGGCTACTGGGAGAGATGCTATGGGCAGGGGGTCAATTCTCTCAAGTCTCAGCATCATTTCTCATTTCTTGGTGTGTTGTTGCTCAAAGTAAAAACACATAGTATCCCGTGTGTCTGTAACTGTGTTTTGTGTCAGCTGTATGTAGGGTGTGTGTTTTGCGTTGTATGTTGTTTATGGCATGTGCTTGTTGTGTATGTGCATTGCTGCATGCACTGTGTGTGCACGTGTGTGTATATATGTGATGTGTGTACTGTGTTCGTGGGTATATGCAAGGCTCAGGGGCTGTAGGCAGTGCCTGTGGAGAGGGGCTGGGGTGGCCGTGGGCTCACTGGCAGTGGAGAGGGAGAGGCGAGGCCACTGCATATGGGGGCTCAGAGGAGGACCCCCGCTGCAGGCCATCCTGCCCTGAGCTCCTGAAAGCAGGGAGGGGCCCCGTGGCAACGGAACGTATTTGGGGCTCGAATCAGCCTGAACCAGGCTGTGACCTTGTCCAGCTCAGCGGTGGTGCCAGAGAGGCCTTCGTGGGGATGGTGTCCAAGCCACACCCACAGCTCTGTCAGGTCTCACCTGTCAGGGCGGGAACCTGAGCACCCAGGCCTGCGGCACCTGCCGGGCGTGCAGCCAGGGAGAGCCCTCACGTGAGGCCTCTCCCCGGCCCAGCCTTTTAACTTGTCCTTGCCCCTCCGCTCTCCAAGGACCTCTGTCCTCCTCCTACCACTTTGGCTCTGGGCAGGGACCTCAGTGTTCTCATCTGTGAAAGGCAAGTCCAGCCCACCGGCCGCCCACCTGCCTGAGGGCTGGGGAGTTCCTCCTCAGGGTCCCAGGGACAGGTGGTGCTGCTCGGGAGGGGCCACGGGCACTAAGCTGGACAGACCAGGCTGCCCCCCTCCCCGCCTGGCCCACTTGCATTAGATCCTCAGGGCCTCAGTCCTTGGCCCCTTTGACAACCCCTTCCTTCCTTAAAAAGTTCTGCTCCCCGGCTCCACCAGCCACCCCCCACCCCTCAGGGAAATATGAACAGCTCCCTCCCATCCAGATCTGGGCGATGAGCCTGGAAGCCTCAGCACAGAAGCTGAGAGGCTCGGAGGGGCTGCATTCTGTCTCTGCATCCCATACCCTCCTGCTCCATCATGGCCCTACTGCCCAGGCCTCTCTGACCTGACCAGGAGCTCCCTGAAAAGAGCAAGTCAGATTCACGTCCGGGCCCCTCACAGGCCCAAAGAGCCTGGAATGCCGGTGACATTCCCTGCCCGACGGCTGGCCGGCTGAGCGGATGGTGGCCTGTAAGTCTGTCTGCCAGCTGGCAGGGGCCTTCCTAGAACGCACCCGACCCCGTCGTGCCTGGGGCCGGGGGGCTGCTCCACAAGGTGCTCGCTGAGCTAACAGGGCTAATGCTGAGGGCTAACATTTATTGAGTGCTTCCTGTGGGCCAGCGCTGCTCTAGCACTTGATACTTTTTCACACAGTGACTCCCGCAGAGGGATGCTGATGGGGGATGGAGCAGCCTTGGTCTCACTAAGCTGGGGCGCTGATGGCAGGTGCCCGCAGACGTGACAGGGACCCCTGGCACGCAGCTCCACAGCAAAGCTCTCAAGGCTGCTCGTAGAATCTGTAAGTTGAGACAGTTGTCTTTATGCCCACAGTTGGCCTAAGCAAGGATTGAGCGCCCAGTTGACCTCTGCAAGATGCCAGTTAATCAGCTGACTCCCAAATGAGCAAACAAGATTTACTATGCCTGACTTCCCACTCTCTCTCGTGTAAATCCTGTTTTATCTTTGTGGAATGAAACCAATCTATTGATACATGCCCCTTGTACAGAAGTAAAAGGCAACCTCATAATGAGCTAAATGTCTTTGAGCTATTCTCTGACACATATAACAGCCGCCCCTGAAGGAGGTTTCTATTCTTGTCCCCATGTTACAGATGAGGACATGGAGGCTCAGGGAGGTTAAGCAACTCGCCCAAGGCCACACAGCTGATGAATGGGGAAAGAGATGTGCCCCTGGCACCCCCACCTATTCAGACCTTGTGACTTGAGGCCCTTTCCTTTCTCAGACACAGCCCTGAGCCAGGAAGGCAGCCAAACCACCCTCGAGAGGTTAGGGTGTGGGTTATGCCACCCTGCACTTCCCTGAGGAGATCCCTGCCTCTCTGCCCATCCCTGAGGAAGGATAGCTGGTCCTCTGCCTGCTTATCCCTCCCAGGGACTCCATGAGGGCTGGAGCCTGTCCCCGCCCACACTCAGATCCCCTGTGGGGCTCCCCCACGCCTACAGGGGAAGGTACGGACTACTCGGTCTGGTGCCACGACTCTGCGTGGGGCCCACTCCTCACCGTCACACGCTGTCCCCTCCCAGCACGGGGCCTCTCAGTCCCTCTGGCCAGCTCCTTTCACAAGGAATCAGAGAAAAACTCTTACCTTCCCGGGACCCTTAGGACCCTCTCAGCATCGCTGCTTCGTCCTGATGGCCTTCACTACACCTCACCAAGGGACCTCTAGACGTGTGTCACTCCAGGCAGGGTCAGGGGCGTCCTGGCTGCGGGGGGCCAGCGCAGAGTACCTCCACAGCCCCCACCCCTGAGGCAGGGCCCGAGCAGACAGGTCCCAGGAGCCCCAGGTGGCTTCCCTCCAGAAGGTCTCCGCACGGCACGCGCGCCCGCACCTGCGAGTCACTCTGCTAGTGACCGGTCTGCGTGGGTGGGAGTGTGAGCACATGCCCGTGTGGAGGGCCTGTGAGTGCGCAGCCGGCCCTGTCTGGGGGTGCGTGTATGCCCCGTACAGCTGCGTGCTCCCGAGTCTAAGTATTTCTGTGCACCTGTGGCTTTGTGGGGGCCTGGGGGGTCTGGTTGGTATGTGTGGCTGTGGGTGACTTTCCTTAGGGCCCCCCTTTCCCAGAGCTGTGAGTGCGGGGAGGCGGGGGTGACGCTGTGACAGTTACAGAGGGACGTGGGGGGCTCATCCCTCTGCGGCCGTGAGGGAGGAGCACCACGCCTTGGCCCGGACTCACTGCCTCAGACCCTCCTGCCCAAACCTCCTGCCCAGCCCCCCACCCCAAACAGGCACCCACTAGCTGCAGCCTTGTGGAAGCAAATGGAAGGGACTCCCGGAGCAGCTGGTTGGGGGTGGGCACCCCCACCCTGGCGAATCGCTCAACTGAGAGGACCCTGCTTTTGTAGTCAGGCGGCCCAGGGTTAAATGTTAGCCCAGCTTCTTTCCATAAGCCTCAGTTTCTTCATCTGCAAAAGAGGGTGCCAAATCCCTGGGTTACTAGAGGACTAGGCGGGGTCAGGTTTCCATGGTAGATGCTCACTCACTGGGACCTGTGGCGGTCGTGAAAATAATATTATTATAAGTCCGAGGGTCTGCGGCTAAGGAAAAGCCCTGAAGAGAGGGCTTGACAAAGTGGCTGGGAGCACATGCCCCCAAGTCTGCGAAAGTTGGGGGGTGGCCACAGAGGGAGCCATGGAGGGGGGAGCTGGGGGAAGGTGGGGGTAATGCCCTGATGAGGCAGGTGGGTGGGGCTGCGGGAGGCTCATCCTGGGCCGATGGAGGCCTGTGGGCCTGCAGGGCCTCCCAGCTAGGCCCGAGGCCAAGTGGGGCGAGAGCACCTGACCCAGGGGCTGCATCTGTCTGTCCACAGCCGGCTTATCGTCCCAGAGCTCTCGCTGGTGCTGAGCAGGTCGCCGGGCCTCCTCCCCTGCCATTGCCCGGCCTGTCCAGGGTTGCCTCCAGGGCTCCGCCAAGGCTTCTCCTTTGCCCTCCTGGTCTGAGGTGTTGGCTCTGCTCACCCTTGGGGAACCTCTTCCGGGAGAAGGGGCTGAGCTGGTTGCCCAGGTTGGCTTCTGGGAGCAGGAGCAGTCCTCTCTGGGCCTAAGGCTGCCCCGTCCCACCAGGCTGACACCGGGCCACCATCCTAGTAGTGTCTGCCTTCTGCTGCCGCAGGGCCTGCAGAAAGACCCCTTTCACCTGGCCCAGGGTCTCGTGGTACATTCGGAAATCCTCCTCCTTTCCACGCAGGGCACTGCCCAGGGCAGCCTTCAGCATCTCGTTTTCCTCCACCTGGATGGCCAGCCTGGGCCACATGAAGAAAGGGCTCAGTGCGGCCCACGCGAGCATGCGTGTGTACAGGGGTGCTGGGAACGGGGCTGCCAGCGAGGCTGCTCTTGAGGCTCGGGGTTCTCTCTGACCCATCCCCTCCTCCCACGGACCCTGGGGGAATACCATGTGGGATTCCTCTCTGGGCCCACCCACAGCCCTGGGCCTGGCACCCAGTAGCACCCCCAAATGTTGGCTGCCTCAAGGATAAGTACTAATCTATAGGGGTCCCTCCATCCTTCCTTGAACATCACTGCCTTTGACTCTGAAAGTTTAACTGAGTGAGAAAAGTGGCTTCAGCAACCCAGGCTTAGTCCAACTCTCGGAACTCGGAGGCCATCGGAGATGCGGCTGGGTCTCTCTGCCCTCTGGCGCCAAGCTGCTGAATTGCAGGCCTAGACCCCAGGACCCAGCAGGCAGCCCTCTGAGCAAACAGAAGTCAAACTGGGAGGGACAAGATGCTTCTGCCCATCAGAGTACCTCCGCGCGGACAATGCCACCCTCCGGAAGATGGGGCAGGAGAGCACCTGGTGGTCAGCTCCTCCATCTGTGATTCCATGGGCACATTGGAGAGCTGGGTGAAGGATGGGTCCTTCCTTTCACTGCTGTTCGGGTTGTGCCTGGTGCTGGAAGTGGGCAGACCTGTGGGGCGGTAGCAGCCACTTTCTGTGATGAGGCCGTGGCCCCGTGTCAGTGCTCTCCTTCTCCCCTCTCCACCCCACTGCCTAGTTCCTGCTTTTCCGCTTGCTGAAACATTATACTTCCTTCAAGATGGAAGACAAGGCATAGCATACCAAGTTGTCAAACCACTATGTTGTACCCCGGAAACTAACACTGTGTGTCAACTATACTTCAATCAAAAAAAAAATTTTTTTTTTTTAAGATGCAGGACAAGGGCTGCCTCCCTCCCGGATGCCGGCTCTGCATTCCCCTGGACTCACACTTCAGTCTCTGCTACAGCCCTGATTGTGCTTGCTTTGTACCAAGGTGGTTCCCCTCTTTACTGTCTCCATCTTCGCAATTCACAATGAGTCTAGATCAGAACCGCCTCTGATGCCCTCATACCACTGAGTCCCCCTTGCCTCCAAAGCCTACCCTGACCAGCAGCTCCCTACATACATACAGGGAGTCCAGGGGGGCCAGGGCCAGAGGCCACAGAATACTCAGAAAAAGAAATCAAAGGCAACTGGTGGGAATTTGGGCGCAATCCAGCGTCAGAAAACCTGTGCTGAAAAGGCCCTCAGAGGGGGCGTGGTTCTCGGGAATGGTGTGGCCCAGGGAAAAATCACCTGGCATCAGTAGACTTGGCTTTCACCCCCTGCTGTGTGGCCTCAGGTAAACCATCAACCTCTCTGAGCTGGTTTTCTCATCTGTAAAATGAGGATAATAGTTCTTGCCTCTAGAGCTCTCTGAGGCCTGGGTGAATTCACATTTTTACCTCAAGGCTCTGTGTGATCGGACCACCTCCTTAGTATTCTGTCACTGCTCTGACCTTGCCTCATACTCCCCTCCCCTCACCATGGGCCAGCCTCACTTGCTATTCCTTGCTGTTCCTTCAAGCCTCCCACCAAGCTCTCACCGCAGTGCCTTTGCACTTGCTCCTCCCTCGAGTATCGGTATGCCTCACTCCCTGCCCCTCCCACTGTCCCTGTGCAGATGTCAACTCCTCAGGGGGCTCTTCCCTGGCCTCCTGGAAACCAGCTGCTCTCTCAGCACCTCCTATCCCCTCCTCGGCAGCGAGCCCCAGCACCTGCCTCCATCTGACTTAGCATGTCTTTTACTGGTTTTTTGGTAATTACCCATCTTCCCCACTGGAGTGGAACTGCCGTGGAGGGACCAAATTCCAGACTCAGGTCTCCTCATTCTACAGATGGGGGTGCTCCACTCCCTGAAGCAGTGGTGCTCTGCCCACGTCATAGGCCAGCAGGTGGCAAAGGCCACATGGACACACTTTTTCTCAGGCCGCTGCTCTTTGCTGTCTAGGCGGAACCAAAATGGTTTTTCCCGCCGTGGCCGAGCACCCCCTGGTTGGGTTACTCAGGTCATAAGCCCAAGGCCTAGAGACACCACATTCTTAGGGAACCTATTCTTGAGGGCCCAGCAGGGCTAAGTTATAGGGACCTTCCTCAGCCTGGATTCTCAGCAGCAACTGGAAGGGCCCTTGAGGTCTGGGCCCTGCTGGTGGGAGAAGAGAAAAGGGCACAACTCCTGCTTTGTGCCTCATTCCAGGCACATCCTTTTGAAATGTTCTGATCTCATCTGGGCTGGGGACAAAGGTCTGAGTGTCCTCACTAGGGGAGAGGGTGGGGGATATACTGGGATGTTGAGAGGCAGGGCAGTAGGGGGAACACCTCCACTCCAGAGCCTGTAGGGGGTTGGGATGGGGACGTCAGAGGGAGGCAGGTCCTAGCCCCTCCATACTAAAGATTCTTCCTTCCTTCGCTTCTGGCTCTGGCATCCCATGCCCCCAGCTGGCCCCAGCCACACAAGATGCTGATGCTGCTGGTCCAGGGACCACACCTGAAGAATCTCTGTGTTAGGGGATGCCTGGGTGGCTCATTCGGTTAAGTGTCTGCCTTCAGCTCAGGTCATGATCCCGGAGTCCCGGGATCGAGTCCCACATTGAGCCCCATATCGGGCTTCTGGCTCAGCGGGGAGTCTGCTTCTCCCTCCCCCTCTGTCCCTCACCCTGCTCTTGTGCTCTCCCTCACTCAAATAAATAAATAAAATCTTTTTTAAAAAAAGAATCACTGTGTTAGAGAATAGATCTTTTAGTTTAGGACAGCAAGATCTCCGTCTGCAGCTAGGTGTGGTCATGTGACTAGGATCTGCTCAGGAGATGAAGGCAGAAGTGACAGAGCAACCTTAGGATCATGCCCTTAAAAGGTGAGGAACAGGTTGTCACCTCCCCTCCTACCTTTCCTGCTGCTGGTGGGGAAGCTAAAGCAGCCATCTTAGACCGTGGCGGCCACATGTTGAGCACGGTGGAACACAAGACAGAGAAGCCCGGTCCCCAAGACTACAGAGAAGCCACTTCATCCCTGCTCAACTGCTGTCGGAAGCAGAGAGGGATTCTTCTCCTGGTCAGCCACTGCCATCCTGGCCTCCTCAGCAGGCCAACTTTACCCCAGGACCAACTCTAAACAAAGTCAGCTCGGGACAGAGGGTTAAGGGTTGGGGTGGGGGTGGTAACTGAGGCTATTTAGCAGAGGCACTGCCACCTCATATAAGGGTTCAGGTGTCTGGGTCAGGGCCACGTGCAAGCCCTTTGGGGCTCCTGGTTCTGACTAGGAGGCCCAGGAAAGAGGACCCCCAGCAGCATGGGCAGGCAGAGCTCCACCCTGATGTAGGCCTCTGCTTCCCACCTTCTTCTCGAAGGGACTGAAGTGGTGCCGCTGACAGGCTCCTCCAGTAGCAGCAAGGCCACCCCCCTGCCACTGGGGCCCCTGGTCCAGCCCCTACCTGTTTTGCTCCTGGGGGCTGCTCTCTGACTGACTGACGTCCTCCCAGGCTCCAGGCGCATCTTCTCCAGATGCTGCTCCAGCACCACGCTGCGTTGCCGCTCCTCCTGCAGCTTCTTCTCTGATTCCAGAAGCTTGCTGTTGCTCTCCTCCACCCTGATGATTAGACAGGAGGGGCTGCCATACCCCAGGGCAGGCAGGGGCAGCCCCCACCCCAGCGGCTCTGGCTCTCAGAGAGGCAGGCGCATCTTACACTGGTGGTGGTGTGACTTGTTCTTTGTTTTTACTGCGGGGACATAGGAACATGTGTTTGAAAGTCATATAGTTCTCTCCAAGGCTTAAAATGGAAAGTTTGCCAGCCACTCACACGCCTCCCCAGTCCCATTTCCGGCTCTCCAGAAGCAATCATTTAGAACACTTTTAGCTGTTTCTTTGAATATTTACTGCCGTATTTCTACAGATGTCCATACTGCTATTTTTTAAGGCTTAAATATAATCTTTCGACTTCCTGTCATGCAACACGAGAATGTAGCTTTAGTTTAACCCTCTTCCCTTACCAAACAGAATCACCCCTCCACCTCCTAATGTAGTTACATATCATTTTTCAGCTGAATTAATAGTAGGGGGTGTATTAGTTTTCTATTGCTGCTGTAACAAATTAGCACAAACTTAGCAGCTTAAAACAACACATATTTATTATCTCACAGTTCTGGAAGTCAGAAGCCCAGCAGGCTCTGTTGGTTTGTCTGCTCCAGGTTCCAAAAGCCAAAATCAAGGTGTTGGCTGACCTGGGCTCTTACCTGGAGGTTCTGGGAGAGAATCCACTTCCAGGCTCACTCAGGTTATTGAAAGAATTCAGTCCCAATGGAAGGACTGAGGTCCCTGTTTCCCGCTGGCCTCTGGCTGGGTGATTTTCATCTTTTAGAGGCCACTTGGCCCGCTCCATCTTCAAAGCCAACCAGACACCCTTAGCATGCTTTGAATCTATCTGACTTCCTCTGAAGCATTTCTCTGGCTGACCCTAGCTGGAGAAATTTCTCTGCTTTTAAGAGCTCAAGCGATTAAAGTGGGCCCACCTGGTAATCCAGGATAATCTTCCTATTTTAGGGCCCATAACTATAATTACATCTGCAAAGCCCCTTTTGCCATATATCATAAAGTATTCACAGGCACAACAGCAGAGAGCAAAGGGCATGGGGGACAAAATCCTGTCTACCACAGGGAGTTACATTAGAACAATTATCCAGACATGGAGCGTGGTAATGATCAAATTTTCTTTCTTATTTATTTATTTTTTTGCTTTTCTCGGATTTAGTGATTGCTTTCTGTTTATTATTATTTATTGTTATTACTTATTATTATTTTCTATATGCCCATCATGAATTCATGGGACTTGAAGACATTGCCATTCGGCCATTTCACAGGAAGGATTTGTTTAATCTCACTAGAGCTGGGGAAGTATGGCCTTCCAGACTTCTGTGATACAAAAGGCTCAGCTAGAAGGCCAGGACTCCCCGAAATTTAACCTAAGCAAAGGGTTGCATACACACAGGCAAATCAGAGTGGAGGTCTGGAAATTTATAGTGTTGGAGGAAGTGGTCTTCCACTTCGGTGCAGAGTCAAGACGGAGCAGAATGGTGACAATTTTGAACAGCATACAATTACTAACACAAAGCTGTATACTAACACAGTTATAGAGCTACTAACATGACTTGTTCAAGCATGTTCCTTGAAACTTTATTTGCAAAAGCAAAAAAAAAAAAATCTACAGGTCCATCAATAGAAGAAATACAGAGTAAGTGGTAAATATAATACCATGGAATGTGATAGAACATGACAGGGTTCAACACAGTGGCTGACGGCCTCATGTCCACAGGTAGCTATTTCAGTTGAAATTAATGAAAATGAAATAAAATTAAAAATAAGTTCTTCAGTCACATCAGCCACATTTCAAGTGATCCAAGCCACATGTGGCTAATGGCCACTGCATTGGACAGCAGAGCTCTAGAACACCTCCTTCATCACAGAAAGTTCTGCTGGACAGCACTGCTCTGGCAATGAGAAAGAATGAGGTAGGGCTACATGTATAAACACAGATCTCCAAATCATGGGATTGGAGAAGAAAAACAAATGTCACAAGAATGCATACAATATGATGCCATTTATGTAAATAAAGGACAAATACATCATAGTGGATTAACACAATAAAAACACTCCTTAACCATAAAAAGAATTTGGACTGACCTGAAGAGGATGTCTGAGATATATTACTGAGTGAACTAAATAGCAAAAGATTATGCATAATATATGATCTAATTAAAAATTTTATAACAGATTAAAAATTTAAAAACAAATAGATAACCAGTGCTAATGAAACTCAGCCAATGAGCTGACAACAGGGATGTGCAGCAGCTACTGACCAGTCAGCTGGGGTGAGGGGCTTTCATTTTTCTGTCGTGTATTTCAGCAATGTTTGCATTTTGTTGAGGTGTGTATTCTGTTTGTGCTAGGGGAAATAAGAAACTAACGGCAAACACCATATCAATGCTAAAGCACTTTATGAATTCCGACAAAATTTAGGAACAACCAAACTTTTGGTTTCTCCTCCCAAATGTGCCTTCCTCATCTTGATAAATGTCACCACCACCCATGTAGATGCCTGGTCTAAATACCCAGGCAGGATTCTTGCCTTCTGTCTCTTCCCTGCTGCTTTCAGCTTCCAATTTATCAGCAGGCCCTATGGCTTTTCCTCGAAACACATACCAGAGCCAACTCCTTCTCACTCCTTCACCTGGAGTGTGGCCTGGTCTGGAGCTGCTCCTCCGCGGGCCTCCACAGCTTCACTTTCTACTCAAGACTTCCCATTGGGATTCTGATTATTCTCTTTTGACCAGTCTTCATTCTCACAGATTTTTTTCTTCTTCGATCATTAACTGGGCTAATTCGGCTCAATGCTTGTTTGTCATGGTTTTGGGGGTGACTCTAACAGCTCTCTCAAACCATGTGCCTCAACCTCCTGACAGACCACATTTTTTTTTTTTGACTTTGCCTTTTCACTTTGTAATTGATTTTTATCATATTTCAAGAGTCTGACCAAACTGACCCAATGGCAGTGTAAAGTGAATAATATTAAGTAAGGCAAGTCATTAGTGAATATTTTCATGTAAAAATTTTGCTTTTGTAAGGACTCTAAGTGTGGGGATACTGATAAAGAATACTCAGATAAGGAGGTCCCCCTACCCAGGTATTAATTTAATATAAATGATACAAGACCTTTATGAAAGACAAACAGACATGATATTATACTACATATATAATACTCTATACATAATTCATAAAGAGCTCTTTATGGATGTAAAGAAAAAATATAAATGACTCCCTAAAAAATGTGCAACACTTTGAATAGATATTTAACAGAAAAGAACATGTAAAAGGCTATAAACATGTGAAAAATATACTCATCCCCACTTTTGGTTATAGCAAAGTAGATAAAAACAACTGAGATAATAGTGTTCCTTTATTAGTTTGGCAAACATGTTATGCATTGATAAAACTTTGTGGAGGTGAGGGCATGGGGAAATGGTAGGTAGTTCACATTATTAATGGGAATGCAAATGGATTCATGTTAAAAGGGAAGTTTACCATTATTTGTGAACATTTAAATGTACACATTCTTTGATCCAGTGATTCCACATTTAGAAACTTACAGTGATATACTCTCATAAAAACGTAAAGATGTGTTTAGTGTGAGTCCATCTTGTAATAAAAATGTAGGTGCATATATGTGCACATATGTATATTCACGTATACACATATATTTGCAGATGCATTTTTGGATGTGCAAGGAAAACATTTTAGAAGTTCTGACAGTTCTTTTCTATGAGGAATGGGGAACTGCAGGTTGGAAAAGGAGGCTTTTCACAATAAGTAAGTATACATTTGTAATAGAAAAACTAATAAAACCTTCAATCGCACAGAGCAGGAGTTTCGATGCCAATGTGAGGGCAGAAGCTGTAAACCTGGACTCCTATTAAGCAGCAAGCTGCAAGGAAGCTCTCTGCATGATTCTGGAAGCCTCAAGAGTGCCCTGTTTGCAATAAAAGACTGAGACATCCGTAAGCCAGGGAAGTGGTAAGGAAACCTGTAGTCAACCAAGGCCTTAAGTGTGGGAGGGGGGAAGCACCAATCATGAGAAAATTGAAACACAAGCCCAGCACTCATGTGCTCAGGAAACCCTAATCCAATAAATTAGCATAAAGTACTGGGAGGGGAAGAATGAAGCGGGGGAAATCGGAGGGGTAGACAAACCATGAGAGACGATGGACTCTGAAAAACAAACTGAGGGTTCTAGAGGGGAGGGGGGGGGGAGGATGGGTTAGCCTGGTGGTGGGTATTGAGGAGGGCACATCCTGCATGGAGCACTGGGTGTTATGCACAAACAATGAATCATGGAACACTTCATCTAAAACTAATGATGTAATGTATGGGGATTAACATAAGAATAAAAAAAAAATAAATTAGCATAAAGTACCAATGAGAGACCACTGAAACCCCCAAAGCTCCACAGAGACAAAAGCAGAACCATTCCATAGGAACACTTTCATAACCTGAGAACTCCCACAGAAAAAAGACAAAAAGCCAACAACACTGAAGACAAGCTCACAGAAATAACACAGAAGTACAAACCACATAGAGAAATTATTCACCGTGAGGGGGAGTCAACAGATATTACTTAGGATCCTAACTAATGAAGATGATAGAGCAACTCTAAAGGGATGAAGTAAGTTTAAAATTATTACAAGGAGAAAAGCAAGAAGTCTTCATGAAGAACACTTCTTTTTTACACAAAAAAGAACTGCTAGAAATGAAAAAAATACAGTTATTAAAATAGGTTTCGTGGCAGATGAAGTGCAACTGAAGAGATTTAGGGAGCAGATTTGAAGATTTGAAGAAACCACGCAGTTATCAGCCCAAAATATCACGAAGGTTTGAGAGCTGTGGAGGAAAGAAGAAGGTCTAACAGAGGCTGACTAGGCATTTCAGATGGAAAGAACAGAAACAATGGGGAGAGGCAACATATGGAGAGATGTCCTTGGCAATATATAAATTGAAGTCCTCGGAATGAAAAAGCACATCAATTACTAGGTAGGAGAAATACAATGAAATAAAGTACCTAGACCCATCACAGTGAGACTTCAAAATACCAAAGACAAAAGGAATATCTGAAAAAACATCTAGAGAGAAAGGACATTACTATGAAGGAACAACAACCAAAACTGATAGCAGGTTTCTTTTTGGCGACAATGGATGCTCAAAGACAATGAGCTATCATAGCATCCCAGTGCTTAGAGAAAGTACCTGACCATCTAGAATTCTACACCAAATGCAATTCTCCTTCAAGAGAAAGGCAAAATAAAGATTCCAGAGTAAACACCATCCACATGGTCTCGCTGAACTAAAGGATGCACTTCACTAAGAAGGAAGCTGAACCCAGAAGGGAGATTGAAATGCAAGAAGCAAGAGTGAGGGAAGACATTTTTAAGTATGTTGGCCAAAGTAAATGAACACTGACTAATTTTTTAAAAGATGAATTTGGAGGGTTAATTTCAGAGGGTTTAGAAAGAAGAATGCAATATTAGAGAAATAGTAGAAACCAGTAACATGAAAGACACAAGTAGGGGAATCAGAGTTAAACATTGTAAATATATTGGGGCACCTGGCTGGAGAAGCATGTGACTCTTGATCTCGGGTTCATGAGATTTTTATTATCAAAGGGATAATAAAGAAATCTACAGACTTCAGACTTGCTGAATTCTATGTTAAAAGTTACAGGTAACCACTAAAAGGATAGAGATAGAATGTATAACTTCCAAGCTTGCATGTAAGAGAGGGAGATAAAACCTGACCTAGCCAATAGAAAAGATAAAACCTGACCTAGCCAACAGAGAAAAAGGAGCAGAAAAATCATGGCAAATAGAAAATATTAATTGAGATGATCAAAATATTTCCAAATATTACAAAAAATGGATTAAACTCTCCTCCTCAAACACCAAGTCTCAGACTGAATTTCAAAACAAAGCCAAGGGGTGCCTGGGTGGCTCGGTCGGTTAAGGCTTGGTCATTCAAGTGTCTGACTTGGTTTCAGCTCAGGTCATGACCTCAGAGTTGTGGGATCGAGCCCTGCATCCAGCCCAGGTTGGGCTCCAAGCTCAGGGGGAGTCTGCTTGGGATTCTCTCTCTCCTTCCCCCTCTGCCCCTCCCCCTTCTCTCATGCATGAGTTCTCTCTCTCTCAAATAAATAAATGAAATCTTTAAAAAAAAATAAAAAATAAAAATAAAGCCAATTATACGCTTTTCAAAAAGAGACATGTTTAGTGACCTCTGTCATGGAAGACTAAGTGAACTAGCCCCTCCTATTGTAAACAACTAGAAAAGTGAATAAAATATAAGAAATAAGAAACAGCAATGTTCTCAGACACTGGATAACAGGACAAGAGGCACAGATCCTTGGACACAGGCCTTGAGAGAAGGGAAACAAGGACGAACTCTACTGTTGTTTTTAGTCTGACTGCACCAGGTGAGGGGGTGAGGGGACCCCACGCAGAGCACAGTGGTCTCACTGGGATAAGGACACAGGACCAGGGACTTGCAGGGCCCTGAGGCCGCTGGAAGGGGTAGGGCAGAGTATGAGAGGGGGAAGCTCTGCCTCCCTGATGCGAGACTGGAACAGACCCCCCAGAAAAAGAAGGGAGTAGATACTGGGGATCTCTGAGAAGGGCAGGTCTCTACTTTGGGGTGAGAAATCCCAACAGGTTTGGGGGCATCCGAATGCTTTCCTTGTGTGAGCACTGTGGGACAGCAATGCCCCAGAGCAGAAAAGGCCGTGTGTCTTAGCTAATGGGCCTGGGACAGCCTCCGAGAGCTAGCTCCCCCGCACCCTAAAATGACACAGAACAGCAGAGTGAACCCAAAAATGTCAAGCTAAGAGAAAAGCACACACGCGTGATTCATAGTGAGTGCCTTGCTTGCCTCACATGAATTCCAGCTCTGCATGGGGAGGCCCTGGAAGAGGAAATAGCACGTGCAGAGAGAGGCCAGTAAAGGAGAACCCAGGCAGCTCTGCCGAGCTTCCAGAGGAACCCGGCCATGTGAGTGATGCAGGCGTTCTGTGGAATCGAATCCCCAAGGTAACCCACGGAACCTAGGGAAAGAATAAACCATCGTGTTTGAAGCCACGAAGCGTGGAATGGTCTGTTACACAGCAATGCATAACGGAGTCACCTTGGTTCACGAAACCCCCCAAAACTCAGGGCCACTCGAGGGAAATGGGAGTACGTTTCTTCCATTTGGTAGACTAGAGGCTTGTACTATCCACTACATTTTAGTTGCAGAAAAAGAATTAATGTTACTTTTCTCTTATCTCTGAGTATGTCTGAAATTCATATCCTCTTCATGGATTACATGAAAAGGGAAAAAACACTGAAAGCTGGTCACTTCTCACTGCTTAGGTACTGACCACTTCCCAGCACCCCTCACTCCTTCTTTGGTAATGGTACTCTGTTTTTCCCTTTGGCAAGCTGCCCCTCCTCCATTCTATGAGCACCTGCAGGTACTTCCAGTCAAGGTGCCTGGCCTATGTCCAGGGATGGACCTGTGAGCAACCCAGGTCAGCTAGACCTTCTCTCCCAGAACGTGCTGGCACACGAAGCGGAAGCCATTGGGCCAGCGCCCCAGGAGAGACCGCCAAGGGTTCCTGCTACCGTGTCCAGCCCCCAAGATTCCCAGACTTCCTTGGGCTCCTCTCCTGCCCCGCCCCTTGAAGTCGGCCAGCACCTACCAAAATCTGCTTTTCCCTTAACTTAGCCAGGATTGGTTTCTACTGCCTGTCACCAAAGAGCCCTGGCTGCATGCCCTGGTAGGGCAGGAACTCAGTGGTGTCCTTTATATTTTTCAGTGTGGAGGTCACATGGTCGGGCCATGCGTTGGCCTGAGTACCTGCAATTCTTGCCAAAAGGGCCACTTGAGCGAGGAGCACTGATTTATCTGAATGGAAGTCTGTCAACAGCCCCTTGGAGAAAACTATGGCTCCTGGCCCACTGCCTTGGGCCACATGCTTCCCTCCCCCTCCCCAAAGAAGTCTCAGCTGCCATCTCTGAGCAACTCTCTTGCCCTTTGTAATTCTGATGTCCTTCTAGCCTTTGTCTTCCCACCAACTCCCCCAGTGCCCTGAGGAAGGTGCCGTGTTCATCAGAGATTTTAATTATTTGTGGACTGATGTGACTGCTTTAACTACTCCAGAGAGCCTCTCCCCGAGACTCCCACCTCATGTCCGCATGGATGCAACAGTCCCATTGAATATATGTAGGACAGGGCAAACCACAAGTGTGACAATAGGGCCCCAAGGCTGTGGGACACCTAGGTGAGCACCTGAGTGGTGACTGGAAATACCCTAGACCGACACCGTGGGAGCCGAACTCTCCAGGAAGGCGGACCCAGTCATGGACGAGACCGGGTCCCTGCCCAAGAACAATGCCCTTGAGCCAGGCTCTCATACCCCCAGCCCACACAGGCCCATAAGAGCATGTCCCTGGGTGCCATGTGTTACCGTTTCTGCAGGACAGTGACAAACTCGGTAAGCCGGTCACGCTCCACTTCAGCGGCCTGCCAGAGGGCCTTGAACTCTGCCACCTGTGCCTGCCAGCCTTTCTGTTCGGGGGAGTCTGAGAACCTGTGGACCAGGGTGGGGCAGAGGTCAGGGGTCAGAGGTCATTTGAGGGGTTATCAGGAGACATACACTTACTTGTGATGGTGGGAAGGATTAGGAGAACATTCAGGGTGCCTCAGAGGCAGCCTCAGAGCAGGAAGCCAACCCAGTCCTTCCTAGCCCTGCTGGTCCTCCTCCTCTGTCTTCTTCTCAGCCCACCATTCCTGTGCCTGCTGAAGTCTCCAGACCTCACTCAGCTGGCTGCACAGCCAGACCCCACCCAGGCTAGAGCTGCGTCAGTACCTCTGTCCATCCAGTCCCTGTAGGGGCCTGGAATTGGGCTGGCTGCTCTGGAATTTGGCCCTTGAGGGCCTAGGGTGCCCCGGGTACCTGTGGGGCCAAGGGACTGGCCACCTTGCCCATTTTTAGGTGGGCCCAGCCTCTGTCTTCCTGTCAGCCTACCCCAGCCTCCTTCATCTCCTGGCTTGGCCCCACGCCCAGCCCACCTTCCTGGACACTTGGCTTTGTGACTTGGTCAGTCTTCTTCAGTGCTGATCTAGCCGGTTCCCGCTTTCCTCCTTATCACTGGGTCTGCCTACTAGCCCCTTAGCTGCTGGCTGGAGCCCAGACAGAAGGGGAACTCTGCCCCCCAACAAAACCCCCCAGAGCCCAGGTGTGAGTCCCAAGCTGCTCTCTGCTTTGCCCCCACCTTTCCCCCTGAGACCCTGGGGGCCCTGGGTTTGCTTTCCTAGCATCACAGGACACACGGAGAGCTGGGCTGGGGCGTGTGAGACCAGAGGCTAACTTGGTCTGGGGTCTGGGCCTGGGTCCTCCCTCTGAACATGGAGGGGGTTGGCTGAGATGGGTGTCAGGAATGCAGACCCCTCTCTGTTCTGACACCTAAATACACTTTAAGGCCTTGCTGCTCAAAGTATAGTCTCTGAGTCAGTGGCTGCGGATCCAGACCTGCTGAATCAGAGCCTGCGTGCTCTGGCAAAGCTCTGGTCAACTCACCTCCACGATTTGCTCATTGGGTGGGGGGAGGGAGAAGAGGGGGAGCCGCAGAAGAAAGGGGCTCTCCCCTCCCAGACACCCCGCCAGCCCCACAGAGCCCCTCTCTGGGGTGGCTCCCGCCGGTGCTATCACTGAGGGAAGAGGTCGGTATGCTCTGTGGGGGCAGGGCCCACGGGTGGTTGGCTTCAGTAAGTACTTGTGTAGTGTGCGGGACAGAAGCTTGGGAACCAGCAGTCTGGACAGCTGAGGAGCACATCTGGTCCTGCTTCCCTGTGGAGTGCACAGGTCACAGACCCACGGGCCTGGAAGGGATCTTGAGGACCATCGTGGCCCTCTTCTTGCTCCCACTACTGTGACTCAAACCTCAGAGAGACAGAGCCTGTCCATTCTCCCTGGGGCGCCAGGAGGCCTCCCACTTTTGGAAGCGTGGCGTGCTCCCTTGTGGCTCGGAGCAGCCCACTCTCCCCCAAACGCCCTTGTGACCCCAGGCTGATGGGTGAGGCAGCTGCAGGGCTGGCCTTGGCCCACAGTCCCTGTGCTGCCAAATGTCAGGCCAGAAGTATCTTAGGCCCTCCTCAGGAAGCAGCATCCCAGAGAGGATCAATGCCTGGAGCCATACAGCAAGTCAAACATGGACTCGGGCCACTCAGAGGCCTGGCCTGGAACCTGAGCTGACCTGCCTGAGGGGTGGGGATGGGGGCTGACAGCAGGAGCATGGCTCCAGTGGACAGTGGGCAGGGCTCAGGACAGGGCTCAGAGACAGGACAAAGCCACCATTTGTCTGTGAGCTGGCAGGAGGAACAAAAGGCCCATTTAAGCCCTAGGCTTGATTCTAACAACAAAGAGGGGGCCAGAGAGCTGAGGGGATATCAGTGACTTAAAGTGGGAACCCATACGACATGAAATTCTCCCCCTAGAGACTGATTCTCAGTGGGGAAGAGAAGACAAGGAAAGGAGCTGGGCTCCAGGCCCTGGAAGGTTCCTTGTGTTAACTCTGTGGTAGCAGGAAGGGACATTAGACTGCAAGCCAGAGGCCAAGACTCTGGTTCAGTAGCCACTTCCTCTATTAACTTGGATAAGGCACTGGGCCTCCCTGATCCTCTATGTCCTTTATGCAAACTTGGAAGAGTCCCTGGATTTGGCCTGGCCTCAGTTTCCTCTCCTTTTAATGGGATGGCAGTACTGGCTGAGCATTCAGGTTGGGAAGGACTGTGAGGGCCCTGAGGTCCTGGGTTCATACCTGGGTGAGGCCCCATGAGGACTGGGCAGAGAAGGCCACGTGAGAGCAGATTCCACCAGCGTGTGGCCCAGGCTGGTCACGGAGCTGTGTGAAGGCAGAAGGGGCACATCACCACAGGAAGGCAGGCTGGGCCAGGCCTGGGAGGAGAGCAGGGGCCAGCAGGGATCTGGGGAGCCCGAGGAGGTGGCCAGTGCTGGCCCTCGTAGCAAACCTGGCCAGGCAGTCCTGCAGATTTTCTGCCCTTCTTTCTAGAACTCTTGCTGGCTCAAAACGAGATAGAACCAGGAGACATAAGAGCCTCAAGCAATCCAAGACAGGGCTGTTTGAGAATCCTAGAAACAGGTGCGTTTCAAGGCCAGCTCAGAGAGGATATTACAGGGAGCTCCAACCAGATGTCTTGCAGAAATAATATTTGGGCCTAACTGGCTCCTCCATGCAGATGCAGGGCTAATGGAATATGAGAAGCCCACATTTGGGAAGGACAACGCCACAGTCATCTTAAAATTGCACCCGTGGCTTCTGAGCAGAGGCAGCCTTTCTTCTGAATAATTAATATTCACTTTCCAACCACTCTATCCCCTTTTTTTTCTTACCGAGAAGATCCAAGCCTGCCAACGTGATCGCCTGCTGAGGCTGGGGGCTTGGGCTGGCCAGGGTCCTCCAGGAACTTGGTGTAGGCGGGGTTGACCTCAGTCCCACCGGACCCCTTGCCCACTTCTTTATTCTGAAGATACTGCAGGGAACAGACGTGGGTTCGATTCTCAGCACTTTGGCTCAGAGGCCTGGAGAAGGCAGGAGGGGGCCTTGGCTGGAGTTCGGGGCTTTTAGGGGACATGAAAGAGGCTTCTTTTCAGGAGTGAAAAGCGAGGCCTGCTTGGTGAAGGCACTCCTTGCATGATAATGACATCTAATAATGCCTCTCTTCAGAAAGGGAGCTACATGGCACGGTGGTGACTGGGCCAGGAAGCTGTTCTACACTCAGGTCCCGAAGGGAAGTGCATGGCCTTTGATTCGGGCCAGATCAGAGACTGATGTCTTTGAGTGGACCCACCTCTCGGGGCAGCCACCCCCACGCAGGGTGAATGCCAGGTGTGACTTGAGGCCAGCTGCCTTTGTCAGCTGGAGACACGTGGACTTAGTAGACACCCGGAGCCATAGAGGTTGCCAGGGCCTCAGCAAGGGCCAGCGGTCTAGCAGGGAGGCTGGGCTTACCAGGCCCCCTTCCCTCCTCACACCTCCTTCTTCCGGATAGCTGGAGAGGCCGGATTGAAGAAGGAGCCCCGGAGGACCCCCACCAGGGGGTCAGGCCACCAGGGGTGGACAGTTGGTGTGAGCCCCAGACAACCTGGCATGTCCCCCATCCTGAGATGCATGCCTCAACTGTCTGCTGGGTAATGCTTGGCCCCCAGTCGGCTGATGATCTCCGAGGTAAGAAGCGCTTCCCTTTTGTGTGCCTGGAGCCAGGACAGTGGTGAGGTGAAAATACTGGAATGTTCCCGTGTGCTCCTTCAGATTTCACTTCCCAGTGGCAAGCAGGGCAAGGACTACAAGGCAATGTCCCCACTCACAGCCACACACACCCTGTCCCCAAGCCTTTGTCATAACCCTGCGCTCCCCCTCAGCCTCGGGGACTTCAGCATTTTCCACCACAGCCACTGGGGTCTCAGGGGATGGACGGCTCGGAGACACACCACCAACCCCAGCCAACACCAGCCTGAGGCTGGAGCTGAGGGGCTCCTGGGCTCCCATGCTTCTGACAGGACCACGGATCCCTGGGAATAAAGGGCAGGGCTGCTCTGTGACATGCCTTAGGTGATACCAGTCACCCTGGCTATGAGGCTTCTCTGTCACTGGGACAGAGTCCCAGTCCCAAGTCCCCTCCCCTCTGAGCACCCGCACCACAGGAAGGAGCCACAGAGAGCCCATGGGGCCTGACTCCCGGCAGCCTGGGCTGTGCTGGTTAAGGCATCTGTCAAGGTCCAGCTCTTCAGGGGCTCCCTCATTAGGTGAGCATTTATGAGCATCTACACTGGCCTCTCAGTCCTGTGCCAGGGCGTGAGGCACCAAGGTACACGCCGCCTCAAGAGGAGAGGAGGACTTGGGGGGGGGCAGGAAAACGATCACCCAGGGTGACAAAAGTTTGTCTTGGGGATGCACAGGGAGTTAGGAGAGTGCCCAGGAGGGGCAAGGAACACAGCTGGGGCCCCTGGCCAGGCAGGGGCGGTGGGGGAGGAAAGGGAAGGCACGTGCTTCAGGCATGTGCACAGCTGCAGTGGGGAGAAAGCAGGGCTGTGAGGAGCTTAATGGTGGCCATGTGGCCAGAGTGTGGGGGAAAGGGAGGGGTGAAGAGGAGATACAGGCGGGGTGGCAGCAAGAGCTCGTCACGTGGGGCCTTGCAAGCTGGCTGGAGAGCAGCTTCCTTTGGGTCATCCCACTGCCTGGAATGTGAACGTGGAGCCTGGCACTGTAGCCGCCATCTTGGATCGTTAGGATGAGGGCCACGGCTGGGGACAGTGAGGCAGAGCTGGAAGGAGCCTGGACCCTTGAGGATTGAGTGAGGCCAAGGGTGACTGGGAGCCACAGACAGGTTTTGTGCAGAGACAGGAGATAATCAGGAAAGAGAGGAAAGGTATGTGAGAATTTGTGGGAAGCCAGATGGAAGCAGGGGAGCAGAATGGAGCCAGGGAGGACGTGGTGTGGCCTGAGTGAAGGTAGGTGGAAAGCAATGGAAGTTGCTGAGCTTTGTCTGGACGGTAGATGGACTTGCCAGGGCTTGGAAATGGATGTCAGGCCAGGCCAGCACCCTACTCACCTGCATATTGAGTTGGCCAATCTCCAACTCCAGCTGCTGTACCTTGGCCTCCCGCTCAGCCACCATGGCCCGCAGCTGGGTGATGAGGCTGATGCTCTGCTGAGCCTCACTGTTGACCTGCTGGTCCAGATGGTGCTGCGACGCCCGGGTCTTCTCCTCCTGCAGACTCAGGCTGCCCAGAATCTCCTGGAGCTGCTTCAGCTGGTCCTGTGGGGCCAAGCAGGAGGGCAGATGACAGACAAGTTTAGCCATGAACCCTGGGCAAGGCAGGACAGTGAAGACTGCCTTCCTCACGCACTCCTTGCTGCTGCAGGAAACTAACAGTGGGACCCTACCTGTTTCTTTGAGAAGCAGGAGGATAACTTTCCTTGCCTGCCCTTGCGGGGCTCACCAGGCAGGTGGGGACCCTGCCATTTTCCTGTCCTCAACTTCCTTCTCTGAGATTGGGCCAAGAAGGACATTGAGGGGGCTCTTGGGACAACAGCAGCTCAGATGGTGGGCCCTCTGCCAGTGGAGTGGGGGAGATATTCGGGGAAAAAGAAACCCTATCCCTCTGCTGGGAGATAGCCTTGAAGGCAGTCCCTGGACCCCCTGCCAGGGATTCCCTCAGCACCTGACTGAGGCCCCCTCCCCTGCAGATGCCCCCAGGAGACTAGTGGGCTGGAGGCTTCACCCGAGGGCCAACAGGAAGGACAGGTCAGTGATTGGGAATGCAGAGGGAACTGAGGCCCGGAGAGCCCAAGGGCACAGTGCTGGTGGATGGCCGGGCTGGGGCTTGTCTGCAGCTTTCATCATGCCATCTGCGACCAGTGAGGACATGCAGCTCCACACCTTATTTAAAAACTAGGAGCTGGAACGCCTGGGTGGCTCAGTTGGTTAAACGTCTGCCTTTGGCTCAGATCATGATCCCGGGGTCCTGGGATCGAGCCCCGCATCGGGCTCCCTGCTCAGCAGGAAGCCTGCTTCTCCCACTCCCACTCCCTCTGCTTGTGTTCCTGCTCTCGTTATCTCTCTCTCTCTGTCAAATAAATAAATAAAATCTTTAAAAAATAGTTAAAAAAAATAAAAACTGGGAGCTGAGGCTCAGCAAGGGGGTGCCAAAGGCCTAGGGTCACCCAGGGAGGTGTGAGCAGAGGCGGGTCTTCTGTGTTCCGCTTACCAACCCGTGCCCCCCAGCCAAGCCAGGCAGGGCCACCCCAGGGGCCTGGGGCACAATTTGGGATTCAAAACCCTGGGGCACTGCAGGTTCTAGAGAGAAAAGGCCAGGCTAGGTTCAGGAAAGCATTGTGGCCTTGATAATCAAGGCAGGCCTTACGGTCAGAGCAACCTGGTTTGAACTCAGTTGTACGGTCTTGGACGACTTAGCTAACTAACTGGACTCTTAGTTTCCCCATGTGTGAAATGGGATTAGAACAGATGACCCTAGGGGTTGTCTTGGCGACCAACCATTATGAACCACACGCACCCCAAGTGCCCGGGAGGGGCTGTATACTGTCACATGGACAAGAATTTGTACTGGCGGGGCGCCTGGGTGGCTCAGTTGGTTGAGCGACTGCCTTC